CACATTCTGTCTCAATAGTATGAATAAATGTTCCGAAAGTCATAAAATTGTTTTAGTTAATATTGTTACATTAATTTGTGTCATAAATGATTTTTTGTGATTTATTGCTATTGTTGATGCTCTGAATTTCATTTTATTCATTTCTTTGCAATCCTCACTAACATATTTATATGATTGCCATATTTATAATATTTATCACCATCGTCGTCATCATCATTATTTTCTCACCATTCTCATCATCGTCGTTATCATCATTATCTTCTTCTTCTTCATCCTATCCTCATCCGAATAGTGCTCATCGTCATAATAATGGTCATCATCGGTAATTGCGTACTGCTGTCGTCGGTACAATATCAAACAACGTTATGCAGTTGCGTGTGTTTGCACATGTGTCTCTGTGAGCTTGAGCTTGCATGTCTTTCTATGCTTCTATGTATGTTTTTGCTTATGTTTATGTATTTTTACACGCACACACACACATATATATATAAATATATACCGATATATATATATATATATATATAATATATATATATATATATATATATATATATATATATAGTAGTATAGATTGATTGATATATATATATATATGTGTGTGTGTGTGTGTGTGTTGAAAGAAGACCATATTTTATACAGTATCGTATGAATTCTACCGAATTGTTGGCAATAATCAATTTAAAGTTTGTCTTTTCAATTTTTCTTACTAAAATTTTTTGGAAATTGTTCAATATATTGAAAAGAGAATTTTTATCCAGGTTCATTGTGCAAATTTAATTAAACTGTTGTTATTCAAATTCATCATATTATAATTTATTACTGTACTGAGGATGATTTGTGAAAAATCTAAATAAGGTCTATTAGCATGATGAATTTGGATAACAACAGTTTTATTGAACTTTCATGATGAACTTGGATAATAATTCTATTATCAAAATACATTGAACAATTTAAATTGATTAATGCCAACATTTATACAATATTCTCTCTATATATATAATTCATACAATACTGTATATATATATATATATATATTATATATATATATATATATTGTTGAAAATAGAAATCGAAATAAGGCCTTATCTGCATGATGACTTTGGATAAAAACAATTTCATTAAATTTTAATGATGAACTTGGATGATTCTATTTTCAACAAATTGAATAATTCCCAGAAAATTATAGTAAGGAAAATTGAAAAGACAAACTTGAAATTGATTAATGCCAACAATTCGGTAGAATTCATACAATACAGTATAAAAATGATATATATATATATATATATATATATATTATATATATATATATACATTTACTTATGAGTATACATATATAGATATATATTTATTTATTATTCTTGTTTAATGTTATAGTTAAGAAGAAATTTGTAATGTTTAATTCATATTTAATTAAATCTTCTGAATATTGCAAAAAAACAACTCGGCACACTCCATTATACAATTTTAATGTCCCTCGTACTGCATTATTTTCATCTTCAGTTTTTGTTTTTGGTTTAAAACTGTTGTCAAAATCACCGTGTTTAGTTTTACAAGTATCTAACTATGGGCTATTTAAAAAATCAATTTTTGACTTAATTAAGAACAACTTTTTTTTACAAGATATGATTTAATTATTTCAATTATTTAAGTTATTTTATAAAGAAAAACTTCTAATATGAATTCAATCGTTTTGTTTAACTTGATAAATATTGATGATCATTTTTGTTCTAAATAATTTCTATTCATTTTTGGCTAAATTTAACTTGTTTTCATTGGCTAGCTATACGATTTTATTTTCATTTATATTGTTATTTATATGTAGGTCTATGTTTTTGTTTGGTTTGGGTTGGGTGGCCGTACAAGCTCGTTTGAGCTTCTGCGTCTCCATGCTTTTTGCTGAATAAATTGAAAAAAAAATTATTTTTATATAATACAATACAATATTTTATTTCCTCCTCAATATGCTAAAAAATAATGATAAGGAACCACTTCCTGAAACATAAAATATCAAAATTTTGTAAAAATGTCATTTAAAAATTAATAATCATTTGTTCTAAAGAAAAACAAAAATAAAATATAAAAAGAAAATGTTAAATTTCCTTGTCCCAAATTGCCAATTTGCACACATCCCTACTCACCAATACACATCCCTACTCACTAAAACACACATTCATACTCACCCCACCCACACACATCAATACTCACTCACACACATACTCGCACCATCCTACCCATATACACATTCACTCACACTCATTCATTCTACCCATACACGTTCATGATTGCATAATAATGACACAGTATGATTAAATAGTAAATTATTTGCACATTCATAATTGCATGATGTCACAGCTAAATTAAATTAATAACTTATTTTCAAAACATATTTCTTACATCTTCAGATGTAATTAAGACGTTTATTAAATGAGTTTCACCTTCAAAAGCGTTGTAAAGGCAATTAAAAATAAAAGGGAGTCGCACACATACAAAACACGCACTAACATCTTAACGTATCGATACAGAATAAAAGAAATGTTCCTAGTTTTGTAATCAGACACACATCAATAACACAACTTAACAATACGTAATAGAATAAAAATGTTCATATTTCTGCAAACACAAATTACCAATACAAAATAAAATAGACATGACAGACAAATATTTATATATCTATTATGTATATATATATATATATATATATATATATATATATATATATATATATATATGGTCGCAGAATCTAACAATCGAACAATATATATATATATATATATATATATATATATATATATATATATATATATGTATATATATATATATGTATATATATATATATATATGTACATTGGAAAGATTCTCAGAAAAACAATTATTGATGAAAATTAAATATTTAAACTTTCTATGAATTCCTTACTTGATTTTAAGTTATCGCTGTCCGGGGTGTAAGGCATAAAAAAAAAACAAAAATTTTGCTTTGAACTAAAGAAACTTGAAAATGATTTACGAGCTACCGTTGGAAAAATCGAAAAGTTAAATTGGAAGTTAACTAACGCCGAACATGCTGTGATTTTCACCTATATATATATATATGTGTGTGTGTGTGTGTGTGTGTGTGTTATATCTCTATCTCTGTATGGGTGGATGTAAGTATGTATGTTTTCAAGTATATGTATCTGATATCGACACACGTGTATGTGGCGGTGCTGCGGATCTCTTGCATTGATGTGTTAGAACTATTGAAACTCTGATGTTTCAATTCAGTTTCATGCGCACCCTCAATCATCCCATCATCACACATATCACATCCTTTACATACTCAGCCCCACATATATCATCACAACATCACACATATCGTTATTTCCCCAAACATATCCTCACATCCCCACACCTATCATCGCATCCCTTCACATATCATCATATCCCCCATATCCTCACATCCCCACACATATCATCACATCCCCCATATCTTCACATCCCCACACATATCATCGCATCCTCACACATATCCTCACATCCTCACACATACCATCGCATCATTATACTTATTATTACCACGCATACGCCGATTTATCTTGTTCACATCCACAGCATCCTTGCTACGTTGTAATCATAATGAGACGAGCGTGGAGGACGGTAAAAAGATGAAATTTTCAAATGGTCATCATCAAACGTTCTCACCAGGCGATCATAGGCGTTAATTTGTTTTAAATGGGGCGCTCATCATTTCTTCGTCACATCAAAGAGTGGAGGCATTCCATTGCACAGCACGTTCTCAGTGATCAAAAAATATTTCTATTGAGAAACATTTTCTTAAAATTGTAACGGCAAATTTTTGTTTATAAAAAATTTGTATATGTAAAGAACTATAAAAAAAGCCATGTAAATGAGGTGTGTGTATGTCAGTTGTATTTGTATATGAGAGCGTCTTTGCAGGTTGTTTAAGTGAGTTTGTGCGTGCGTGCGTGTGTGTGTGTGCACACGGATGAGAAAGACAAGGGCGAGCATCAATAAAAGGAAGTTTGCTTGCTTGCAAGAGATTGCACTAATCAGCACAAATACAAACATACAAACTGGCATAGATAAACAAAGTGGGCTAATATTGGATCATTGAAAATAAGCAACTCGGCAAAAAATACGAATGAGTTTATGTGTTGTGCACGCTACAAAAAATTACACCACATACATAGCTGATGAACGAAGGCAACAGTGATACACCCATCAATTAGAATTTAGGAAAGCAAAGTGACAAACAGCGAGTTCAACGCCAGATATAGAAAATTAATATTTTTCTAAATTGTGACCCACTCATCAAATATTTATTAAAAACAAATTGTTCACAATTTTTGCAAAAATAAAATCAACAAAAAATAATAATTTAAAATCTCATCCACAGTCATACATTCGCACAAACAACAATTTGAACTCGGCAGCCAAAAAGCATCAAACAACAAACACAAACACCTCAGACATGAAAAAACTTGTATTCGATACGATACAATAATACAATTTATCTACATAATTAACAGTTAAAGAAAATACACATGGACAAACATGTTATCAAAGACGTTATCAAGCGTGTGCTCAAATATGTGAACAAACATGTAAACAAATGTGAACAAACATGTAAACAAATGTAAACAAACATGTAAACAAATGTGAATAAATATGTGAACAAATCCTATCAGACACATTTTCCAAAATTGACAATACAAAACAAATAAGCAATAAAAATAGTAAAAAATAAAATAAGTAATAATAATCTATAATACACACACAATTTCTTAGTAAATATAATAAGAAAAATATAAGTAGATAATACAGAGATAAAATATAATACAGAGAAATACGACAAACACACAAACAGTGCAAGAACATCACGCAAACACATTTCAAACAACGTACGTCCACATAAAACAATACATACAAAGCACTTCTACGCACTCAATTTTTTATTTTTAAAATTTTAATGTAAAAAATATTGATTTAATTTTATTTTTTCATTAAAAGACGTTTTTCAAGCTTCCATGTTGATCGATAGATTTGATAGTAATGTAAGGTTGATGCGAGTAGAAGAACTCACAAAAATTTGAACATTCAGGCTTCCCATTAAAGCTTCAAGTTGAAACAAAAACGAAATTTGAAAACTTTCACAAAAAAACCTACCTTTGTATTTGCGAAAGATCGGGAGGGTAGAGGGGATGGCCGAGGTGGCCAGCAGGGTACAAAGGTGTTCGAGGCAAACCTGTCGTTCAATGTAGCATTGTTTAACTATTTCACTTTTTCTATATACTATTGCATATTTGCAGTTATATGTCATATAAAACATACATGTTTTAATATATATATTATATATATATATATATATATATATATGTATATATATATATAAACGTTCACCAAAAAACATTAGTGAGAAAAATTGAAAAAACAAACTACAAACATATTAACGCCAAACATTTGGTAGAATTTATAGAATTTTTAGAATATATATTAGGGTGTCCCAAAAATATGAAGTTTTAAAATATTGATGTCTCACCCCATTAAATATGTCTGTATGGTAACAGTAATTTACCTGCTAAATTTTAGCCCATTTGGACAATGTTTAGAGGTCCCCCAAGGGGTCGAAAGTTTTCGATTTTGGTGTTTGATCGTTCGCTACAAACTTTTGATACAGTGTTATATGATATGATTATAAATGTTTTATGATTTGTTTATACAAATGAAACAAAATATATAATTGTGAAAAAATATATAAATCTGCAATGCCTATTATTTTTTAATTTCAAAAATTAGGTCAAAAATGATTGAAAAACAAGATTTTATTGAATTTCAGTTCGCTTGAATATTAATGCAAATAATTCAAATTTTTGCTAGCACCAGGTTTGCGAATGGCTACATCAACCTGCAGTTCAGCTATTTGTGCAGCAAGAAGTAGAAACTCTAAATAGTCATCTCGAGAATGTCTGACCTCAAGTTGACATTTGATGAATGCTTTAATTGCATCTGAAACAATTATCAAAGGGGTTGATCTGGCTTCTGGTGTGTGATTCATTTCTGTCCATTTTTTACGAAACCTTTTGAAGAATAAAATTTCTGGTCCAGTGGATGTTCCAAGACAAACACTATATACACCGGCAAGCAGCACTTCAAACTTATGATGACGGCAAGCCATCCATACTAAATTACGTCCCATGGCTTTTTCTAGAAGAGTGCAAGCTCCATTGAGTTTTCCAGTATTGGAAGCTGTCGTGTCAAAGCACATGCCAATAACCATTGATTCACACTTTCAAGATTTTATCTGTTCATGAACTGCATCAGCAGCTGCTCTTCCTAATCCAGATGCTAACCTTGGAACTCCAAGAAGTTTTGTAGTGCCATCAACAAGTGATGAGAGCAGGACAGGTAACCAATCTACGTTGACCACACCAGTAACATAGCGAGTTGACTGGTTAAAAATATACATTTTTTGCATTCTCTAATAAAGATTATCATTCTGCAGGTAATTGTTAATAATATTTTAAACTATAATTAATGTCTGCAGTGAGATAATTAAACTAGTTTGCATTTCTAGCTTTATTTCACTCATTTTGTGCATATTGTTTAAGATTATTGATATGGATTTTGAATTAACTCGATAGTAAAATTTTAAAAACCCTTGGGGGACCTCTCAAACTTGTTCAAATGAGCTGTAACTTCACCAATTTAATTATTGTACCCAAGAGACACTTTTCAGAGGGTGAGACATCAACTAATTAAAAAAAAAATTTCTGTGCATTTCTGGGACACCCTAATATATATATATATATATATATATATATATATTAGAGATTAGATTAGATTATTTATATATAAAGCGCCCTTTATTGTTCTCAAAGGCGCTAACAATGTAAAAGTTAATTAAATGCGCTGATGCAAAAGTTGATTAAATGTTTCACTTCAATCAAATCATATCATGAAAAGTTTGTCTGAAAAGATGATTCCTTAGCTTTTTTCAAAATTCAGTAATTGACAACCCACGATTTCGCAAGTCAACCGGCAAACTGTTCCAAATCTTCGGTCCCATAACAGCGAAATCTCTGCAACCAACAGCAAGCTGAGTTTGTCGAATTGTTAACAAATCTAAATCGTTTGACCGTAACTTCTGACACTGTAACGGTGCATTTCTCGGAAAAATTCGATCCATTCAATATTTCGGCGCTAATCCATTAATGCTTTTATACACCAGTAGGGCAATTTTGAAGACAATTCTTTGTTGAACGGGCAACCAATGAAGATTGAAGAGAATAGGAGTAACATGATCAAGATATGAACCACCAGTTAACAACTTGGCAGCTCGATTTTGAATTAATTGTAACTGTGCAACATACTTTTTGGGTAAACCGTAGAATAAACTGTTGCAATAATCGATCCTCGAGTGAATGAACAAGTGAATTAAACATTGCAATGTATGCATATTTAGAGATCCTTTGATGAGCCTCAATTTTCTCAATTGGTAAGTACATTCTTTCAACAACAACTTTATGTGCAATTGCATTGTCATGTTTGTATCAAAAAAAAATCCAAGATTTCGTGCTGACGCACACAATTCGATGACAGATTCCTTTATTCTGATAGTGTTGATACCCACTCTATTCACTTGTTACCATGTACCCACAGGCAAAAACTGGGTCTTGCATTGGTTCAACTTTAATCTGTGCCCCATCATCCAAACATCAATGGCTGATAAACACGATACTAAATCATCGACCACATCACCAAACAACGAAGGAGAAGAGTTGGCTATTATTTGGATGTCGTCAGCAAATGCATGAAACCTGAAATTGTACGACTTAATTATTGTGTAGACATCTGCTGTATAAAGCAAAAAGAGAATGGGACCTAAGACGGGACCCTGTGGTACACCGTATGACAAAGCATAATTTGTTTTGAATAAAATTTGTTGAGTACGACCAGCAAGGTACGACACGAACCACTTGTGAACGACTCCCGATAGTCCAAATGTTTGCTTCAGTTTTTTGAGAAGTATTGCATGATCGACGCAATCGAACGCCGAGCTCATCTCCAAGAGAGCAAGCAATGACACATTTTGTTCGTCCATTGATGAATACAACCTTGACGAAACATCAATTAAAGCTGTTTCCGTCGAGTGAAACACACGATAACCCGACTGGTGAACCGGCAGAAGATTATGAATTTTCAAATGAGAAGCAAATTGTGATAAAACGATTCTTTTAACCAACTTTGACAAAAACATAAGGTTAGATACAGGTCGGTAATTTTTTAACTCATGTCTATCAAGAGAATTCTTCTTCAAAATCGGTGTAACAACAGCATTTTTAAACGCTGATGGAAATGAGCCAGAACTTAAACACAAATTTATGAAAAACGTTAAAAACGGTAAAAACAAATCAATAAATCTTTTAAGAATTTTTGTGGGAACACAATCAACCTAATTTTATATATATATATCTTGTGTGTGTATAAAAGAAACATTTTTAATTGTAAATGTTTTGTGCGAGATTGGTTGATTTTGATTTTATGCTTTGTGAGCAGTTTTTCATGAAAATTGTACACCGATGATGGCAAAATGAAATTCACGCTAAATACATGAACATGATCTGTCCACACACGAACTACTGTGATTCAGAAATGTATGTGAAAATGTTTCTTTGCTTACAAACGCAGATTATCACACTATTTTGTTCCTTGATCATTCGTTTAAGTTTTACAACACTAAAAGATATCGACTGAAGCACGCTTATAAACGCAAACCAATTTACAAACATATACACATGCATACACACACAGATGTACTCATACACACCCCATCATGCATTTCCATACGCACACATGCACCTATAAACAATAATACAACAATAATAACAAAAAACAAAGCAACCATGCTACTGGCGACAACAGTTAGCAAATTTGGCCACCGAGTTAGCTCAGTCGGTAGAAGTGCCTCGTCTCGCGCTGTTGTGTTTCGAATACTGTCTGTCTGAACCTCAAAGACTATCATACACATATGATGAATTGCTTGTGCGTGCATACATAATAAGTACGTGTGTCGTTTGGCGTGGATTGTACAGTTTTTGTAGCTCGAACGTTTAATTATAAATATAAAATAACATGTAAGCAGCTCTGTGTTTGACAGAGCTGCTTTATAAAGAAAAAACAATGAAAAAACGGAACAACAACATCAACAACATCATAACAACAAGTCACAACAACAAGTCACAACAACAACAATTACGGAAACAGTCAGAAAACTAATCGACTAACCAGTTTTATGATGGATCTGCAGAGGTTGAATGCCCATGTGAGCTGGAGGTGGCTGATCATTGTACATGTAGAGGCCCAGGTGGGGCGGCAACAACTCGCCCTGTATATGATTGTATAATGTGTAATAATTTTATATACTTCATGTTAGTTTCATTTTTCAAACTCATAGTGAATTAAACATGTTATAGTTTAATTGCAGGAACGGTAAATGTAATTTTCGGTAGATAACTTTAAATTCTTTGTTTTTCAATAAAAACTTTGATAGCAAGCAATAAATTAATCTGGTTATGTAAAACAGTATAAGTTTAAGATAAATTTATGCGTGAGTATTAAAATTTATATATGAGTGATTACATTTGTGTGAGTAATGTTTGATTTTTTATGTTAGATAATGTTTTATGATCGAATATGAAGACGAAATTTAATAAAAACAGTTGTTATCCATATTTATCAGTGCATGTTTGGTTTATATAGTTTCTTTAAACAAAGCAAAGTTGGTTCTTAGCAAAGTGAGTTACTTAGTTGGTGTCGTTTTCTTCATCTTTGTTGTTGTCATTTTTTTTGTTCTTCTTTGGCTTTGAAGTTAGTATTAAGGCGTCGAGTATTTATTTTTTGTTGGTTGTTTTTTGGGCTTTATTGATACCTATTAGGACAGCTTCTGCAATTGTTAAATGTATTGTGTTAGTGTTTTAATAAATTATTTTTATGTTGCCAAAAATTGGTGGGTTACTGGAGTTGCACGTGTTGATTGCAAGTGAGATTTGATGGCTCCCCTTTGTGTATGCATTGTGATACGTCTTGATAGTGAAGTGGTTGTAACACCAATACACAAATGTTTTTGACGCTCACAATCATAAATGGGGCATTCATATTTAGATATTAAATGATTACGCTTCAAAGTAAAATCGTCTTTAGGAGTGATGTTGTTCTTTAGCACCGATTGTAATGTCTCACAATTATTGTAGTATATCCTAAATTATATTTTTTTAGTATCGTTGATTGGTGTAAGTTTCGTTTTATGATTTGTTTGAGGACGACTTCGTCTATTTTATGTGCCGTTGACATATAATTTCTGTAATATAGGATTATGTCGTTGTCATTGTTGTTTTTTAATATATTACTATCTTGCTGTAGTCTTTGTTGAATAGTGCTTTATATGGGTGATGTCTTGTAACCGTTGCTTACTAGTAAATTAATAAGTCTTTTCAGTTTCGTATTGCGATCCTCAGTTGAGAATGAATGCGTAAATGCACGGTTTACAAAAAATTTTACTGTATTTATTTTGAATGGTTCCGTGCATTCGCTCAGCCCAATCAAACAAATATCTTTATTTGTTCCTTTGATGTACACGGCGGTTGTAAATGTTTGTTCGTCGTGCGTTCGTCGTGCGTTCGTCGTGCGTTACCAAAACATCCAGAAATGGCAATAAATTTTTATTTTCGTTCTCGATAATGAAATTTAATTTTGATCGGTTCCGGATTGCTAGTAGTTGGTTGACATTGACATATCCCTGATCATCGTATGCGAAAAAGCTATTGTCAATATATCTAGCCTAAATGTTTGGCTTTAACTCCAGATTGTCTCAAAATGTCCTAGAAGAAGTTTGCGAACATGACACCGAATGGTGAGCCTATGGCTATACCGTCAATTTGGTTGTATAGCTTCCTGTGGGAGTGTGGAAAGATGATTCGGTGATGTAAATTCGGAAAAGAGATTTGAAATGTGTCTTTGGTATTTTTAAGGGGGGCCATGTCTGAGTGATAAACACTATTGATGATTATATCAATATGGCTCATCTGCATGATGAATTTGGATGACAACAGTTTTTTAAATTGTCATGATGAATTTTGAAAATAATTCTAGTTTCAATTGGTTGGACAATTTCTAAAATATTCTAGTAAGGAAAATTGAGAAGACAAACTTCAAATAACTGATTAATGCCAACAATTAACGCAGAAATCAGTTAGCTGTTTAGGTTATATAGTTAGTGAT